AGGAAAATGTTTAAGGGGTATGAATATACTTGGCCAGCAGTGAGTAAAGCTGTCTGATTTGTCTGGTTTCTGTCTGTGTTTAGTTTGAATTTGGACAAGCAGACGACCAAAGGCAGCACAGCGCTGCACTACTGCTGCCTGACCGACAACAGCGAATGTCTGAAGCTGCTGCTGCGAGGAAAGGCCTCCATCGATATCGGTGAGAAAAAGCTGAATTTATGCATTTCCACTTCAGTTTCTTTCCCCGTTCTTGGTCCTAATTCTGTATTTTAGTGGAAGAAAATCACCTCCTCGGTTTCTGACCCAGTTTCCCACACGTTCAGCTCTAGAAAACAAACCATGGTGGCTTTTTTTCTCACAATGTTTGTGCTCTGAAAGCAACAAAACAGCCAGATTAACAGAGAGGAAGGAAGAGCGATGCAGCTCTGTGTGGGAAACGGCTTAATTACACACTGCTGAAGTCTCAGTGGTAGCAGGAGAGAAGATGGGCAGAGGGTTTGTCTGCGCCTGCAGTGGGAATTAAAGGCCAATAACACTTGTCTACTGTTTTCTTTTCCACTATAAGCCAACGAAGCCGGGGAGACGCCGCTGGATATTGCAAGGAGGCTCAAACACGCCCAGTGCGAGGAGCTGGTGAGTTTATTGCTTTTGGAATCGCCGCCGTCCTCCACCTCTGATCAGATGTCAGCTGGGTTTGATCTGTGCCTGTTTACAGCTTAACCAGGCTCTGGCAGGGAAGTTCAACGCCCATGTCCACGTTGAGTATGAGTGGCGCCTGAAACACGAGGACCTGGATGAGAGCGACGAGGATCTGGATGAGAAGGTGAGCGGCCTGGAACTGGACTTTTGTTCAGGTTCTCCCTTACCCCTCTGACACCGTCTGACCTGTGAACTGCTTCCAGCCAAGCCCTCATCGACGAGACGACCGTCCCGTCAGCTGTTATGCACCCAGCAGTAACTCCCACCTACAGTCAGGTCCGGGAACGGCAGGACGGGACGGCGTGGGCCTCGGCAAAGACAAGCACCGCCTCTTTATGCCCAGCCTGGTTAACAACGAGACTTACGGCACCATCCTGAACTCGGGCTCCCCTCAGCCGGGCTCCAACTCTGCTCCACCTCTACCCCCGAGGAACCTGGGTAAAGATTAACAGGAACACTAGAGCTCACATGGACCCCATGTCACTTTAATGTCATCAGATTAAGTTAGAATTAGCTTAATAACCCATCTGCCCTGAAGCAAACTCCTAATAGCTCATTTTAGCGCCTTTTTTTATGTGAAGATGGATAACCGTACTTTTACTACTCTTTCAGCCTGATCTTCTCAAGTTTTGCATGTCCTAAAAACATGCAAACACGTTCATATGTGCAGAGCAAATCTGTAAGAAGGTGCAAAGTTTGCAGTTCAGCAGTCAGCCTGTTTAAATGATTTTTGTTTTTTTGCGTGTGCCTTTATTAATGCACTAGAAAAACAATCTAGAAATATGTAAAAATATATTAACTTAGGTGCATTTACCCTTAATTTGAGTAGGTAAATGAGATAGTTTGCCAATGGAATGAGTAGTTTTACTTTTATAATAAGATGATTAGATAAAAGGCACTTGAAATAAGACAATCCAATTGTGTTTTCTTATTTTAAATGTAAATTGTCTTGTTCCATTGGCAAAAATGTGTCTTTTACCTCCTCAATCTAGAACAAATGCATTTATTTTAAGAAAAAAATGACTTATCCAGATTTAGATTTTTTTCCAGTGTATGCAGGACAGATTCTTATGACCAAACCAACACATTGATGGGTGGAGGATATGGTGTTAGGCGATTTTCTATTTGGAAACTCCACTGCAGCCGTGGTTTTCGCATCTTTTTAACCACTTCTGAAAGTCTAGTGCAAAAATGATGCAAATATCCTCATCACAAAGGAGGCGTTGATACGATGCCAGAGAATGAAGAATAATCAACAAAGAAAGCTGTCTTTTTTAATCTTTAGTTAGCTTCATTGTTATTTTTTTGTAGCACTTAGCAGGGTTTCCGCGGGTCCTTAAAAAGTCTTAAAAGGCATTAAACTCTTCAAAATAAAACTAAGGCCTTAATTGGTATTTTAATGTCTTAAATCAGTCTTTCGTAGGTCTTAATTTTTAAAACATCATAAATGAGATTATTTTTATTACAATTTATTTTTGTAATCTAAATAAAACAATAAAATTGACAATTTTTTAATTTTTTTTTTCATAAAAAAATTAAAATAACGGCTCACCATTATTGGTTCCATCCCAATAGCGGAACCAATAAAGCGTTGTTGCGGCCGGGACATTTGGGAGATGCGCCATTAACTTTTTGTCTGGTAAATATGAGCAAGTGTAAATGTAACCAACATTGTCTCCAGCCAAGAGTTTTCTCCATGGCTAAAACCAGGGAACATACATGAGGCTCAGTGGATTTATGCAAGAAGTCATTCAAGCTCAGAACGATGGGGATTAAGGCAGTGGAGTCGCACATGCGAAGCACGAAACACAAAGCGTCCAAATGGAGTTATAGAGAAACAGCCTGTATTTCTCAGTTTAGTTCCACCCTTGTCTCTGCAACGCCTCCACTTATCACCAAATCAAACATACTAAGAAAACCATACAAAGAAAAATAGCTGCTAAAAAGACTTAGCACTGGTTATGTTGGGGCTTTAAAACTGATTAGTTTTGTTCCCTGCTAAAACAAAGTTTGTGAATTCAGTTAAATAATTGTTCAAATATATCTGTAATTTGTGTGTTTTTAGCTTTCTTCCTGTATGGGAAGCTTTTCAACATTTGAAACATTAGTGCAGTGGTTTATGTTAAAATAAACCTTTGGGTTAAGTTGTAGCAAGCAGGTTTTTCTTGTGTTTCTTGTGAATTTGGTCTTTAATTTTTATTTCAAGTGGCATTAAAAAGTCTTAAAAAGCCTTGAATTTAACTCACCTTATGCTGTAGGAACCCTGCTTAGGCTAACATCTAAAGTGCTCTATGAATGTTATTTAGTATTAGAATCATGCATTTTTTTATAGTTATCATTATGACCTTCAAACAAATGGCTTAGAACCTCATCTTTCTTTTATGTTGACTCTCAAACGGCCTGTACAAGACGCCATCTGTTAATTTAACTGGCAGAAATAATTGGTTAGAATATTAAATTCAAAGGGAGCTGCTCTTACATTAGTTCTAACAATCTTTGAAGATCAGGTCCTTGGAGGAGGAAGAGTAATTCCTTTTCTCTGAGTCCGCCTTTATCTCTTGCAGTTCAGTTTTCCTCTCTGGGAGGAATCGGTCAGTCTCCTTCCTCCAGTACCTGGAAACCAGGTTCTTTAGATCTGGTCGGCCGACAGCGATCGTCCTCAGACCCTCCCAACATGCACCCCCCCATCCCCCCATTGAGGCTCACTTCTACTGGAGGTAAGAACGCCCGACTTTAGCTCCTCTATTTTTTCTTTGTGTGCTTTTGATATCGTTTTTTTTATTGTGTACAATTGACAACAATAAGGCTTTAAAATATCAAAAATGTTGCTTTTCAAGCTAACTTTGGCATATTTAGTTGTAGGGATATGAATTTGCAAGAATGTTTTCATACAATACGTATCACAAAAGATGTTTTACAATAAAATGTATCACAATACACTAACAAAGGTGTAATAGTGTGATTTTGTATAATATTATAGCTCTGAAAGTTCTCGTTGCTCTGCAGCAGGGCGTGCAGAGCAGCTGGTTTATAGGCTCTTGTGTGCTGCGCTGCCAACTAGTGGCTGGAGCTTTAACAGTTATATACAATAAAACAATAAAACGGATGTTGGCTTATAAATGTTTTTATATTAAGATCAATTTAACTGTTATTTCAATCGATACTAATATACTACTTTTATTTTTTTATTACACCCCTTGTTCGTAAATTATTATTGTGCAATTATATTATAATTTTTTTTTAATTTCATGCTTTAAAGCATCAGAAATATAACTTTTTTTATTTTGTGTAACTTTGCATCATTTTTAAAATATTAAACCAGATGTTTTGTCCCATTATTACTTCCTGATTTTCCTGGATGGCAACTGTTTAGTAGAAATATTACTTGAGTACCGTTTTTTGGTACTTTGTCCACTTCTGCTAGCAGCATGCTAATGTTAAAATTCTTCCTTTTTCATAATAAAGATAAAAATGTAACTGATCTCACATTGGTATGCGTGTCTTTGCATTTAATCCATCCTCTTGGGGAGCAGTGGGCTGCCTTTGTGTGGCACCAGGGGAGCAGTGTGAGGTTAAGGGTCTTGCTCAGGGACCCACAGTGCAGACTGTGAGAATCGAATTGGGTACTTGCATCCTTCTTAGAGCACAAGCGCACTGCTCTAACCACTAGTCCAGGCATTCCCAAAGTGGGTCCTGGAGGGCCGCAGTCCCGCAGGTTTTAGAGGTTTCTCTGCTCCAGCACAGCTGATTTACACCGATAGTTGATAAACAGGCTTTTGCTGAACTGCAATCATCAGAATCAGCTGTGCTAAAGCAAAGAAACCTCTAAAACCTGCAGGACAGCGGCCCTCGAGGCCCGACTTTGGGGATGCCTGGACTAGGCCAACACTTCACATCTTTATTATTAGGGCTGGGGGAAAAATTAGATTCCAAATCGATTAAATCGATTTTGAATCTAATTTGAAATTTGTTTGCAAAATCGATGTCTAGGGAATGAGATTGATTAGTTTTATAGTGACCCACTTGCCGTTCACATTCAAAAAAGCAGGAAAGATGCTCTCAGGATGACTTCAGACAGCTGCAAATATAACCAATAGTTTCACTGAAGACATTAACAAATGGTGGCTGACCAGCAAACACCCTGTAGTTGTTACAGTTAACGCTGCACATATGGTTTTTGCAGTGAAGATAATGCAGCTTATGCATGTCTGCTGTGTCACATCTGCTTGCTCGAGTGAGGCTTCACTTTTTCACTTTTCACAAACAAGTTTGCACTTGTGCACGTTTCACATCTCATGTTTAAACTGTCTGATTTACAAGTTTGCACTTTGTGTTTAATGTGACAGGAAAAAACAAAATACATGAGTATTTTGAAACACAGTTGAACCATTTTCATTATTGTAAAAACAGATCGAATAGAAACTAATCGATTTAGAACTGTATGAATCGAAATGGAATCGATTCAGGACTTTGGTGAAAATATCCAGCCCTATTCATTATAATCATGGTAAGCCTGATGGATCTTCATAAAGAAATGTTCTCATCAGCCAGACTGCAGTGGTTGGCAGAACAATGTAATTGTTCTAGTTTTCTGTTTTTAGATTGTAACCTTACTATATTACTGCCCCACCATGGACTGTTCTCCCTGCTGCCCTCTGGGAAGAGGCTTCACAGCATTCAATGCAGGACCAGCAGGTTCCGCAGCAGCTTCTTCCCCACCGCCATCAGCCAGCTGAACTGTTGAGAAAACTCTAAATCATGTCACAGGCTCTGCATCACACTGATAACACCAACCCAAAAACACTGTATAATTGCACCATATAAATTAATGCTCTGAACCTCTATTTCAATGCATTTTGGGTTTTTTTATCACTGCTGCACTTTCAGAAATGGGAATCTCATGAAAGCCGTACAAAATGAAATTTTGTTTCGTATGCACTCTGTGCATAAAAATGTATTTAGTTTTATTTTTTGCTTTTCTTTTTCCTTCAGTCCAGGACTTTGGCATCCAATTAAAATCATTCCAGCACATTAATATATAATTGTTATAAACTTCTGCAGCTTTTCAAAAAAATATTTAACTATTTGACCACTTTACTCAACCTAAAAAAGGAGTTAGAGTCTAATGTTGGGGCTAATAATATGTGTTTCAGGTCTGGCTAACGCCCCTGGAGCCAAGATGGAAGCCGTGAGCCTTCAGTCCAAGTCAGGTCTGGGTCCGTTAGGGACCCGGTCCGTGCCTCCAAAATCTCCTGCTGGGTAAGAACACGAAGGGACGCCGCAGACAGAGTCCACTGCTCTATCCGCTCCCCCGCGCTGCGCTGGGATGGATCCTTCTCACAGGCCTGTGAACTGATCATCTACGTCTGTTTCATTTTCAGCAATGATAAAAGCTTCAGCCGAGGATTCCTGAACCGAAGTGAATCTATAGAGCGAGCAGGTGAGCGAATGAATCGGAGGGCATCCATTTCACAGAGAGGAAGCTTATTTTTCTCTTCTTTTATAACAGTGTGGAAAGTGTTGCTCTGATGTAGTTTCCTTTTTCCTGTTCCAGCTAAGGAAGTGCCAGGATGTCCCCAGAACTCGGGGCCTCCGGGCCCCACGTCCAGGAAGGCCTACCCTGTGAGTCTTTCACTCATCTTTATAATTACCCTGATTATGTGTTTAGGAACGGTTTATTTGGTCGCACAGCTTCTTTAATCCCCTTTTTCCCTCTTATTCTTCTGTAATCTCCCTTCCTGTTGCTGCTGTGTTTTTGTTGGTTTCCTGTTCTTTACATTTCCTTCCTGTAGTCTTTATTTGGGCTTTGACTAAGAAGTCGTTTAGCCCTGTTTCTGGAACTGTTGACATGCAAACATGGAACATTTCATGGAAAATGTTTTTTCTGTGATTTTCAGGCCCAAACCAGTTCCGATCCAGAAGTTAATATTTGATTTAAATAAATACTAAAACTGTCAGCATGAATAATGAAGAGATTTGAATAGATTTCTGATTGTTTTCATGTATCTTCTCCTGGAATTTTCAGCTATTACTCTGCAGTTACTTTTTGTAAAGGTTGATCCAAATCAGCGATAATCTTAGACTATAAAAACAAAAAGATTTTTGGTCCGAGGGTCAAAATTAGGCAATTGACCAGACAGGAAGTTGTTCAATATGGGAAAAATACTTATGAAACTTCCGGTCTTGGCAGTTTCCTAACCTTGACCGGTATGGATAATTGTCAGAGGTGGGAGATGTGGAATCAACAGTCATCTCTATGCCATGTGTTTGTTCTGCTAAGCCACTGCAATTCACCTGATACCTGACTGGTATGATTATTTCTCTGCAAACTGATTTATTTTATATGTAATTAAGAAGTTTTTATCAGTGTTTCCTGATTTGAGGTTAAAAACTAACCCTAGTTTATTATTTTTTTTAAGGTCACTTTCAATTTAGACTTTAGAAAGAGGGCAAATACTGTAGGATTTATTACATAAGAAATAAACGACCAGGAATGGTTCATTTCACAGTTTTAATGCACTTCATCATATATTAAAATGTGAAATGCACAGTTTCAAATTGTTCAATCCGCTTGATTCCAGCGAGTAAACATTTTATCAGCATATTTTATTTACTGAACTCCCTTATTATGTTTCAATATAGAAGCTATTATTGCTGGCTTTTATTTATTTTTAAGCTTACTGATTATTTACAAGATTAACAAAATGTGAAACGTATTGTTTATTACTCCAGTAGAAGTATAAATTCTACTGTTTAAAAACAGTAATAGAAGTTAGAGAATCAACTTGAGCTTTTTACTCAAGAAAAAGTATAAAAGTACCATTTTTTTAAAACTACTTGGAGCATAAAGTAAACATAATGCTGGAAAAAATGTTAAGCTTTACTGAAGTTTTACTGCTCTACCCTACTGAAGGAACATTTTCTACATGATATCTACATTTATCTAGATGATAACTTCCTTAGACTTCATTTTCTTAGTTTTATAACTAATGATAAAAGTGTCAAGTTTAACTTTGCATCATTTTGAAAAACTGTTTATTTTGGTTTGTGGTGAGCAACAGGTTGGGGCAGCACCGAGTCCAACCACAAAGAAATGAATTGTCTGGATGAAACTAATTATTTTTAATGGTTTTAATTTTTTTAATACCAACAGGCCAAAATGAAAAACGAGCTTAAATGAAAAAAAAAGTCTATTTTTAAAAATCTAAGGAGTAGAAGTTAAAAAAAAATAAACAAATTACTCCATTAAAGTGTAGATGGTGAAAATTTCTACTTAAGTAGCAAAGTATTTGTACTTTGTAACTTGACACCTCTGAAAATGCGCAATTATTCTATTAAATTTTGTTTACATTAGCTAACACATGCATATACAGTATGTCATTTTAATATTCACATTTTAACAATGGAGGCAAATGTATTTATTTTTGTTGTAATATATTTGTAACATTCATAAAAGTGTTTTGTTTTGCCCAAAACTGTTAGAATTCACCTAAAGATCCACGCTAGCACTGGTTTGCACGTTGCTATGGTGACACCTGTAGCAGAGTGATGTGGCAGTGATTTATCTAGCTGAACTAAAGGCTGATTTATACTTCGAAACTAGGCCGTCTGCGTAGGTGTCGCAGTGAACAAAAAGTAGTCTCCACTAGGGATGGGGATTGAAACCCGGTTCTGTCAAGGACCCGGTTCCACTTTTTTCAAAACCCGAAAATCAATAACGTTTGGGCTTATCGATACCACTATCGAGTCTGGTCTGTTATTTGGTGGAAAGACGATGCAACAATATGTTTTTAA